TTCCCTTCTTCTAACTCTGCCTTTCAAATAAATAAAGCAAAGCTAAAAAGGAAAAAGAGATAAAATAAAGGGAAAGAAAAGAAAATTATTAAGATGGCTTACAGTGAAGTAAATTTTAAAGATTCACTTGTTTTTAGTATAAAAGCAGATCATATTTATGGAGAGACAAAGAAAAAACTCCACTGGCCCACTCCCCAAATGGCCCCCAATAGCCCATCCAAAACCAGGAGCCACTTCCCAGTGTGTCACACAGATACAGGGTCCAAAGACTTTGGATTGTCCTTTCTACCACTTTCCCAGGCTACAAGCAAGGGACCTGGATGGGAAGTGGACCAGCCAGGACACAAACCGGCCACCCATGTGGGATCCCAGAGCTTTAACCACTGAGCCATCATGCTGCCCACCCCAAACTGAAAAGTAAAACAACTATGCCCCCTGCAGTTTTAAAGTGAATTGCCTTTTTAAAAATCTAGTGCATATTGATTGGGTTAACATTCCTACATTAACCATTTGCAGGAACCCAGATGCTGAAAATTCAGAAACTAGAGCAAAGTCATTCATTGTAAAAAAGTGCTTGTAGTTTTTAGAAATTGGTCTTGGAGCTGCTTTGATGACAGTGTAATAGGTAAGAGCACCTACTCTGAAGCTGTGTGTCCTAAGTACGTACAGTCATAACCTCATGGTGCTTTGTGTTTCTGTTTATAAAGTGGAGATCTATTGTTACCAAAGACATGGATCTTAGGAGAATTAATGCCTGCTACATAAGAAGCACTATCAAAACCTAATAGGATATACCATGTTCTGCCTTTGCTTTTTTTTTTTTTTTCTTGCTTAATATTTATCTGTTTCAAAGAGCTACAGAGAGAGAAAGACAGAGAAATCTTCCATCTTTTATCTACTGGTTTAGTCTCCAAATGGCCACAATAATGGGAGCTGGGCTGAAGCCACAACCAGGAGTTTCTTCCAGGTCTTCCTCATGGGTAGCACAGAATCAAGCACTTGGACAATTTTTCACTGTTTTTCAAGACCATTGGCAGGGAGCTAGATCAGAAATGGAGCAGCCAGGACAGGAACCTTCTCCCAGTACTGGCCCTTGGATCTTTGAATCTTGTGTTGAATTGGGCCCTCAAGTGTTTTCATTGGGGTTTTCTGCTATTTGCTTTACATAATCTGCCTTGTCTGCCTAAGCAAACCAGAAGTCAAGTCGGGCTAATTTTACCCCCATTCCCAAATAGTTAAATATAATTTGTTGGAATACAAGTTCACAACTACTGTAATATGTTAATAAGTGTCATTGTTTAATGTCTGTGTTCATTGACCACAAGGAGTTTAAAAACTTGGGCAGTATGAGCATTTATTAAAATCCAGGTTTCCTATTATATCTATATGAGTTCCTATCACTAGGATACTAATATAAACAAAGTTCCTTTTTACTCAGAAATATTAGAACACATGCAAGTCTAATATTTTATTGGCTTTAGTTTTTGTAAGATACCGTATTTTATTACTGATTTAATTTAATGTATATATTAAATTGTTCTTGGATGGTAGTTGAAGGTAAAATTGTATATACTTTAAAACAGTTAAATTTTAATATATTCATCCAGAAATATTCCTGAAAAGTAGATACCTGAAATCTTAGCCACTGACAAGATGCCCTTCATTTCAAGTACTGAAACTTTATGCTTAAAATAACAATGATTTTAGGAAATTTTAGTATCTAATTATAATCTTTCAGAAAGTGTTTCTTGAAAGAATTTTCTCTGCTCCCAAGGGAAATTATTCTTGTGGTAAGTTATTTAACTTTCCTTCTTGGGATTTTATTAGTTGCATTCTTGTAACTGTTATAAAGTGCCTATTTTCCATCAAGATTTCAAACTTTTAGCTTTAGTGTACTTGCTAAAAATACCTAATATGCTTTTTTTGTATCATAGTGCAATTAACAGTCACAAATGACAGTACCCAAAACTTAAAATCTTAGTACCCCAAGATTTAGTACCCCAAATTTAAAATCTTTAAGATTTATGTGGAATCTAACAGAAATCGGAAGGAAGAAATTGGTAGATTGAGGCAGATTTTTTTTTTAAGACTTATATTTATTGCAAAGGTAGATTTACCAAGAGACACAAAGATCTTCCGTCCTCTGGCGTATTTCTCAAATGGCTGCAAAGACGAGCTGAGCTAATCCAAAGACAAGAGCCAGAAGCCTTGAGCCTCTTCTAGGTCTCCCACATGGGTACAGGGTCCCAAAGACTTGGGCTGTCCTCTGCTGCTTTCCCAGGCCCTACGCAGAAAACTGAATGGAAGTGGTGCAGCCAAGACATATACCAGCACCCCATATGTGATGCCTGCACTGGAAGATGGAGAAATATGCTGTTGAGCCATTGTAGCAGCCCTGAGCCAGATGTTTTCATCATGATTTAGAATGTTAAATAGTGGTAGAGGAACAGCTTAGTGAGTCTTGAGCCTGATTTTGACAATCATTTTATTCCCTTGCAAGCCTCAGCATCTGTAGGTATCATCTGTTTAATAATTGTAATGACAAAAGCTGCTACTTTAAAAAAAAAGATTATTTTATTTTATTTATTGGAAAGCCAGATATACAGAGAGGAGGATAGACAGAAAGATCTTCCATCCGATGATTCACTCCCCAGGTGACCACAGCGGCCGGTGCTGTGCAGATCTGAAGCCGAAGCCAGGGGCTTCTTCCAGGTCTCCCCAGCAGATGCAGGGTCCCAAGGCTTTGGGCTGTCCATGACTGCCTTCCCAGGCCACAAGCAGGGAGCTAGATGGGAAGAGGGGCTACTGGGATTAGAACCGGCACCCATCTGGAATCCTGGCTGGGTCCAAAAGCTGCTGCTACTTCTTACAGAGCACCACTAATTCATCAGTCACCTTGTCAGTCAGCCTCTGAAATCTATAATTTATGAATGCAGAAACTTAGTTCCTAAGTGTGCAGCTCTCTATTGAAGTGCTACATCAGCCATTCATTTGTTGGAATGAACTAGTAGTAAGAAATTTGGCAGTATTTATTACCATAACCAAGGTAGTAGTGAGAAGCTATTTTTGTGGGATCCCTTTTGCATCAAACTGATAGTTAAAAATGAATATAATTGTATATCAGAATAAATTTAATTAGAACTTTTTGTTAATTGTATTGTCTCCTTTCTTGCCGAGTTCCTTCTTTGTGGTGGGTGATGCTTTTAGTGGCTTCCCGTTGTTATTGGTTGCCCTACCTCAGAGGTCAGAGAACTGTGGGACAAATTTGTCTTGCTGCTTGTTTTTGTAAATAAAGTTTCATTGAAACACACCTACAAAACCTAAAATATTTACTTTCAGCTGTCTGCAGAAAAGCCTGCTGACCCCTGCCCTTATTTAGTAAAAAATTTGAAGAAAGCACACTTTATATCTAATTGTAAATGTATGTGAAACTGTCTTTTAAAAGTTTCCTGCATTTTATGTGCTTTGGGAGGAAGAAGTAAACATTGATGTGACTAGGTTATTATTTGTTGTTCTCAAATGGAGTTCACTCATTTGTTCAATGGTGTGCCCAAATTCTGGTATTTGGTTATAGGTAATACTGTCCAAAGTCTGTGACCAACATTTTTTTCATCCCATTAAAATGATAATAAAGATTATGCACTTATTTTCACAAAAATAAAATTGGATCAAACAAGTTTTTGTTTACTTTCCTTGCCCAGGAGGAAGCAGCAGTCCTAGTGTTTCCAATTAGCAGGTTATCTGATCCCTTTAAAAGTAGTGTCCCTGCCCTCTGTGGAAGCAGGCGGGGTCCCCTTGGACACTCAGGTTTCACACGTCTAGGGAACAGGCGTCTACCCTTTGCTTTAGGGTTCCTAATTGATAGTGAGATCCTTTTCCCATGTCACACACAGGGATATAATGAACACATTAGAATAACTTTGTAGAGTTAGCAGAAGAGTAACCTGAGACTAACGACGTTCTGGTAGTTTCCAGGAGAGAGATTTTGGCTTAGGAAATATGTTCATGGAAATTTTTCCTTTTGTTTTTCGTTTTCCTACTTTCTCAGTGTATGACACAAAAAAATTAGTGTTTACTTTTATTAATTTGCAGAAAATACTATTTTGTCTGCTCTTGTTAGTATACTTAATTTTCAAACAGACTAACAGTTTGTATTGTTTGGTGCAGTTGAGGGAATGGGAATAAATGTTATTACAGGTTGCAAATATATAATAAACCTAATTAATAGTGTCAAAGATAATCTAAACCCAACAATTTTTAATTTATGGGAAGTACTCTAAAATTTATCTGGTCATTCTTGGTGAAAATGTTCTAGGCAATATGTAGAGGGAAAATAGTGTTCTATCAATTACATGTATATAATACATATTTATATGTATGTAACAGTAAAGGAATTTCTAAAAGAACAGTTCGTCAAAATGATAAATGAGCTGTTGCATTTCTTAGTGAAAATAGACATTGTTTCCTACTTTAGTTTGTATTGTTAGCAGCATATTTTTAAGTGCATTCAAAATTCAAGGGTTTATGTCCGAGTAAAAGGTTCTACTCAGTTATAAAGCACAGTTCTTTTCACAAGCATTCTAAATCTAAAGTCCATTGATGGTGGTAAAAATATCTCAGTGCTGTGGAAAGAATATGGAAGCTGTCTTTTGTTGTTGTTTTTGCTTTGGGTAGATTATTCAGACTTTGAGATTACTATCTCACTGTATAATTCAGTAATAATTAATAGAACTTTGTAATTAAGTAAAATGCTATATCTGATATACCAGCTAAGGTGCTTGATGTATTTGTTTGCCACCTCATGTATCAGCACCGGGATTATTTAATCATTTCAAACAATTATGCTATGAATAGTTAATTCTGTTTACTTACTGTTTTCTGCAATGGTAGTTTCCCTCCCTCTGTTACATTAGTAGTGTGTTTTAAATACAAAACTGACATTTTTTAAATCAGAGAACTGAAAAATAAACTTTTGGTGGTGGGGGGATGTTTTGATGCAGACAGCTTTACTAAACCGCCTGGAGCGCATTTTCGAAGCATGCTTCCCTTCCATATTTGTCCCTGATGCTGAAGAGGAAGTTACTTCCCTGAAGCACTTGCTGGACACAAGCACCCTGCCAGTAAAAACAAGAGAGGCCTTAGCTGAAAGTGGGTAAGTAGTAGACAGTTTTTAGATAGCAGATGTTTTTGTTTGCTTCAACAGACTTAATTTATAAAGTTACCTTAAAACATTTAAGGTCCTAAATCATTATTGATAAGGTTTAGTAATGTTGTGCTAAAAGACTTAGAATGAAAAAATGCCCTGCTTTTCAATTCTGAGCCATTTGTTTCAGTGTTCTAATCAGTTGATTAAACTATATGTTTTTGGCTTCTTAACAAGATGGGTGAGAATTTGGGTTTAGTCTACATTTTACTCCCTTCATATTTCCAGTATACTTAAATCATAGTTTATTTTTGTTACTTTCTTACAATTTTCATTTCTTAATGTAACAGTGTTATTATCATGTAAATATTATTCACTCCTAAGCTCCTGTTTCCTTTATAGTACAGTTTTTTCCCCGAGCTTAATAATTGTGTCTGTTTTGTTTTCTGCATTCCTTCCTATCCACCAACAGCCTATCAGTGCCGTTTTAGGGGCCATTGTTGTGGCATCTGGGGTAACATTGCTTGCAATGCCAGCATCCCATGTCAGAATGCCAGTTCCAGTCCTAGCCACTCTACTTTCCATCCAGCTTTCTATTAATGCTAGGAAGGCTGGAGATGTGTGGCTGGACCCCTGCCACACATGTGGGAGACCAGGATGTCTGTCCTGGCTCTTGGCTTTAGTTAAACTAGCCCAGACCTGGTTGGTGTAGCCATATGGGGAGTGAACCAGCAGGTGGAAGAAATCTTTCTGTTTTTCTTCCTTTGTTGCTGTGCATTTTAAATAAATAAATGATTTTAAACTACAGTCTTATTGTGTACATTGCACTTTTTCCTCTGGAGCTCACCATTATCCTGTCAGCATCGAGAATGGTTTCTTTCAAACGTCTTATGTGTGTTGTCTTGAGACTTCCCTTCTAAAGAAAAAAAAAAAAAACATGGAAGGTAAAAGTGTATTAGATTTGTAGCTTCATTCAATCTGGAGGCATCTGTTCTTTTTGTTAATCATTTCCCTTGTCCTTTTCCTTGACAATTACTTTTTCTCCATTGTTTCTGTTTCTTCTTTCCGGAATACCTGTGATGTGACAAGACCTAAATTGATTTTGTACTTTCCATTTCTGAGGATAGTTATCATTCTTGGACTGTTCTTTTGCATTCTATCACTGTCTACTCCAGAAGCATTCTGTCATTCCATTGAGCTAAGTCAGTTACTCCTTCAACCTGCTTGTCACCTTGGCATTGTGGTACGGGGTTTTAGGTATCTCTAAACTTCACTCAATGTGGAGATTGTGTTTTTTGCTTCTTGGCCCTTAGCTTGGCAAGAAGAGATTTTCAGAAAGTTACTTTCTCTGCCATCTTTAAATTGGTTAAATTTTTAGTGTGCTGGTTATAGTTGATACTTTGGAAAGATTCAATAATTTGTCCTCGAGATTTATCCTAAGGAAATAATGCAGTTGTATAACATACATCATAAAATACAGGAAGATTTTCATTGTCTTACTAATAATAGGAGCCAAACAATAAAACAGCTTTAGAACAGCAGGATTATGGTTAAATAAATGATAATGTACCAGCCTGAGAGAACATTACACAGCCATTGGAAAACGTGTAGTCCCCTCCAAACCTCTGCACAGGAGATGCAGCCCAGAACTTTCATAGTCAACCCTCTGTATATTGTGTTTTTTCTTACATGTACATACCTGTGATAAAGGTTGATTTTTAAACTTGGGCACAGTAAGAGATTAACAGCAACAGTAAAACACATTTGCAGCAATATGCCCAAATATGTTATATGAATGTTATGTTTTACAATGTCGTACAGCACTCACCCTTCTTTTTCTTGCAATATAATATGATACAGTGCCTATGTGATGAGGTGAACACCCAAAGTAATGTGTAATATAAAAGCAAAGTATTTCAATTTGCTATTATAATATTTTTGGAGTATAGTTAACCACAAGTAACAAACTGGGATAAGGGGACAGTGCTGCTACACTAGAAAATGCTTAAAATTGGGGAAAAATATAAAATTTGATCTAGACTTTAATTGCAGCTATGTTTATGAATGAGGAGTCAAGAAAGCGCAGATATTGAATAGCCTTTTTTTTTTTTTAAACATCTTTTTGAAAGGCAGACACGAGAACGAGGTTTTATATCAACTTGTCCACTCCAAATTGTTAACATTTGGGGCAGGGCCAGGAAAAAACCATTAGCCCAAAACACAATCCAGGTCTCCCAGGTGGGTGGCAGGGCCCCCAGAACTGATCCATCAACTGCTGCCTTCCAGTGTGTGCATTACCATGAAGTTTGATTAAAGCAGGTGAACTGGAATTGAAACTAGTTACTCTGATATTGGATGTGAGCATCCCAAGAACAGTTGCCCCTAAATAGCTTTATTAAGGTGGAATACTGAGTGATTTGTCCTTTACAATAACAAAATATGAGCTATATTTCTCCTTGATTACTGGCATTTTATGTGTGCTTAACTTTTCTGATGGCTAAGTATTAGTTCTTGATTATTCCAGTAATAGCTATAATTATGCATGTTAGACATAAGATTAATTGGAGTTGGATATGTTGTGGTCATTGAAAGCGAAAGGTGTTAAATGACCTGTCATGTTGATGACTTCATGGCCCTTGCAGGGAACTGTTGGATGTGTGGACTGAGCTGCAGGACATCCATGACGCACATGGCTTGAGATACCAGTGGGGTGGCTCCCACAGCAACAAGAAGCTTTTGTGCTCCTTGGGAATAGACACGCGAAACATTGTGAGTTTGTTACAACTTTCAGAAATCCTCTCCTCAATCTATGCATGCTTTTAAATTATGCTACTCTTCAGGCTGTGATAAGCAGTCTCAGAAAAATAAATATTGGTTCATTTAGATGTTCATTTATTTTGAACATGTTTTAAGAGTTCTGTTTTGCTCGTTCACTCTTTGTATGCCTGTAGTGGCTGAGGGGCTGAGTCCTTGTGCCAGATGTTCAATCTGAGATTCCCACTTGGGTGGCAGGAACCCAGCTACTTGCCACCACTGCTGCCTTCCCAGGTGTCCGCTAGCAAGAAGCTGCAATTGGACACTAGAGCCATTGTTAAATTTTAGGACTCCATTGTTTGGCCACTATGCCTTATACCCAGTACATACTGGCTTTATTTATTTGCTTGTTTATGTTTAGATTTAATTTGTTGATAGCATTAAGGAGAAGGTACGACACATTAACCATCCATTGATTTCACTCTCCTGATGGACACAACAGTCAGTACTGATCCAGAAGCTTCATCCGGGTCTCCCACGTGGATGGCAGGAACTCAGACACTTGGACCATATTCCACTGCTTTTCCCAGGCCATTAGCAGGCAACTGAACTGGGAGTGGAGCAGCTGCAACACAAACCAGCACCCATATGGGATGCTGGCATTGCAGGCATTGGCTTTGCCCCCTATGCTACAACATCAGCCCTTTGAGCTTGACTTTCAAACCACAGTTTTTCTTTAATATTTACTTTTTTTTATTAAGATTTATTTATTATTTTTTTATTGGAAAGGCAGATATACAGAGAGGAAGATCTTCCGTCCGATGATTCACTCCCCAATGAGCGCAATGGGCCCAGACTATGCCGATCCGAAGCCAGGAGCCTCTTCCGGGTCTCCCACGCGGGTGCAGGTTCCCAAAGCCTTGGGCCGTCCTCGACTGCTTTCCCAGGCCACAGACAGGGAGCTGGAAGGGAAGCGGGGCCGCCGGGATTAGAATCGGTGCCCATATGGGATCCCGGGCATGCAAAGCGAGGACCTTTAACCAGTTGCGCCACCGTGCCGGGCCCTTTAATATTTACTTTTATAAAAAATTTTAAGTGTTTTTCCTTAAAGATGAGAACCACATATAGACAGTTTATCAGTTTCTTCAATGTTTCACTTAGAGTATTTGTAATATTGTAATCACATTTTGTATACTATTACGACAGATCATTCTCTATATGTTCTTTCTTACATGTGTAGCTCTTCACAGGCAATAAGAAGCAACCCGTTATAGTACCCATGTATGCAGCAGGATTGGTAAGTACAACACTCTGCATATACAACTGTTTATTCTATAAAGTCATCTTAAGCAGCATGATGTAAAGGTCTGTTTTTAAAAGCATTTAATATGGGAATCTCTGGTATGGGTTTCAAATTTTGATCCCAGGACATTTTTGTACTAATCAGATATTGGAAAAGTATTTTTACAACTATACATTTACAACTACGTAATATGCACATTTGAAGGATTCTCTCCACTTAACATCCTTGAGACCCCATGTTGGAGTGCCATACTTCAAGGTCCTCTTTTGTTCTGGACACCAGCTTCCCTCTAATGCAGACCCTGAGAGGCAGCACTGTTGCCTCATGCAATTGGGAGACCTGTATTGTGTTCCCAACTGCTGGCCCCCAGCTGCGTACTGCTGTGCTGCTGTGATCATTTAGGGAATGAGCCAGCACACTACCTACTTCCGAATTGTAAGTGATGCCTGGGGAAGGTATTGTGGCATGACAGGAGAAGCCTCTACTTGGGCTGCCTGCATTCCCAAATTGGAATACCTGGAATAGAGTTCCAAGTGACTTCAGTCACTGCCACTCACATTGGAGTCCTGGATGATGGTCTGAGTTCCTAATTTCAGCTTAGGCCAGCCCTGGCTCTTTGCAGGAATTTGCAGAGTGAACCAATAGATAGAAGGTCTCTGGTTCTCTTTCACCCTGCCTTTTGAATAAAATAAAAGTCAAAAGACTGAAAGGCAATTTACTTTAATCTAGTGAATTAAATAATGATATATTGGGGCTGTGGAAACACGTAAATACTTGGAGGTAACAGTTTACAGTAAATGAAAAAGAACCAGGGTCCTAGTGGGCCCTTAGTTTTCCTGTTACTGTTGCTTGAATGTGTTGACTTTTGTTTTTTTTTTTCAGATATGCCAGGTAGTTCCAGAAAACTGAGGTGTTTTCATTCTGTTTCTTTTCGAGACAGTCATGTTTTAAAATTTGATGTTTGTGTTTTTGCTGTGTCTGAGTTATTGGTGAAGAAAAATATCTGTTAAGTTTTAAAATTATAGCCAATAACTTAAAATATTTTTAGGTGTTTAAAAAATAACCAAGGAACTCTTGGTATATAATTTAATCGCATAAATCATTACATGCATGTGAACATGAATTTGTTGTGGAATTTGATCTTTTTATCTACCAACTTTTTCTATAAATAAGCACTAATTATTGAATTAAAATGTCTGTCTTTTATAGTTTTATTTTGTGGACTTTTCTGTGCTTGAGCTTTTTTCTCAGTTTCTGGTTTTTATACCTTTATAAATGGTTAAGTTATACTTTTAACTTTCCATGATCCAGTTTTTAGGTATAAGGATTCCTCTGTCCCTGTTTTCTCTCCCAACATTTCCTCCCATTTTATCACAGACCTATAGTTCCTTAGGAATAGATGCAAGTTTTTTGGTGTTTAAGTGTACTATGATATTGTAGGTATAGAAACAAAGGTAGAAAATCTAGTAGCATACTGCAAAGGTGTATGTAAATGTTTCATTGGAGGTCTCCTTTTATTCCAGAATAAAAAAGTGTTCTTTTCTATAGTTTGTAAATATCACCTGGGATTTGGTGTTTGGAGTCTTTGTTGTTTTTTTCTTTGCAGTGGGTTAGTAGACCCCCCACAGATGGTTGGCAGTATATTTTCAGGTCGTTATTGGAAATAGGGAGTTTTCATGTGAGGCACCGACCTACTTCAGCACATTGGCCAACTCTTTGATTATGATTATATTAGTGGTGGGTGTGTTTGCTTTGTTTTTCTGCCTTTACTACAACCTTTATTATATCAGCTTATTTAGTGGATATAAATGTTTTTTCCCTCCTCCATCTCTGATTTCTTTCATTTGGAAATTCACTTTTAATTACAGTTCTTACTGCGTTACCCTCTAAAGATGCATAGTAATCTTCTGATCTTACGTGGTGAAGTAATCCTTTGAATTACTAATTCTCAAGCTTTGGTGTATGTTGGAATCACTAGAATTGTTGAAATGAAAGTGTTTGGATACCATGCCCAGCTGACAAATGCTAGGTCATGAATAAACTGATTGTGGATCACAATTAAGAGAACCACTGATTTACAAGATAGTACAAATTAGGAAATTTGGCTAAGACTAATCATAGTGGACCTGAAAGCACAGTAGCTATCCAATACTAATATATATGATGTGAAGTTAGATTATGAACTTATCTTCATCTTTTTAGCTGCTAGATTAAAGCCTTTCAGGTGTATAAGAATTGCATCTATAATTGCTTTCCTTAACTTGGATGGGATGGGAGAGGGTCTTCTGAAAGCTTATTTTTAGAAATTTATAGATTTTCATTATTAACTTGACAGTTTTCCTCCCACCTTGTGGGGTTTTTTTTCCACCCGATTTAAGGTGACCTTTAACATGACCTTTAACTGATAAAAATCCAGAAGCTTATTGAGAATTTTTTAGGCTTTTAAACATATTTGATGGGCAGAATAACAGACAAAGGTCTTCTGTCTGCTAGTTGGTTTTCCAAAAAGCTGCAAACCTTTTGGCACATTGAAGCCAAAGCCAAGAGTCCATCTGGGTCTCCTGTGTGGGTGGCAGAGGCCTAAGTACTTGGAACAGAACACTCAGGACTCTAACTGGTACTCTAGTATGGAATGCTGGTGTCACAAGCAGTGGCTTAACCAACAGTGCCATAGCACTGGCTCCAAAAATTATTTTAGAAAAGTAAAATGTTGGTTTTCTTCCAGGTCATTAGCCTGGATTATTTCTACTTTTCTGTTCAATGAAGTGTTGATATAGAAATGTAGATTTTTTTTTTGTCATGTTTCTGTACCTATCCTGTCTTCCTCAGAAAGTGTGCTACTGTTATTACAAACCTAGTGGAATATGATTTATTTTTCCCTTGAAACAGCCATAGCTGTGTCTTTTCTGCCAATCCAAGGAACTAAGTAGAATGACCTTGGTAGAGAAGAGGACCAAACACATAAATCCACACTCAAGGATCTAGAAGTCACACCTATGTTAGAATCAGCTCTCACTTCTCTAAGAGTCACTGCAAAAGGCTGTATGTGAAGGGTGCCTCTTCCTGCAGTTTCAGTGTCCTAAATGTTCTAGAAGTGTTGGATTCTTAGCGTCTAGATGTGACAGGTTATTGTTCACCTTCAGTTGTGCTTTACTTTTCTGTGACAGGAGCAACTATGCATTTTAAAACATCTGATTTAAAGTGCTTATAAAATGTGATTGCAGAAATATTATTCATAATACTGTAAGATCTTTGATAAACATGATAGTTACTTCTGTCTTGAGTGCCTTTCCTGATGGCCTTTTTCTTTCCTCTTGTTGCTGGATTGGAGTTTATGGTTTGGTACCTCTCACCCCCAGCTAATGACTAATACATCTTTTTCAGGGTATGTTAGAGCCTACCAAGGAACCATTGAAACCACTATCTGCTGCAGAAAAAATCGCTTCCATTGGTCAGACAGCCACCATGTCACCAGAGATGAACACATGTACATCTGGTCAGTTCCAGGTAAAATAGTCGTATGTGCATAGAGAATGTTTATGCATATATATGCGTACACATCTACATACACTTTTCCCCTTTCTTAACTTTCAATTTGTAGAATGCTTTTAAGATTTGACTTATGATGAACATATGATTATTTGTTCACCGTATTTTAAAGGCTGTAAATTATCTATCAAAAATGGAAAGAAATAATTTAAGAGCTGGGTTATTAGAGGTAAGTTTTTAAAACTTTCCACACCTTAGTCTCTTGACCTTATAAAGTGGAGAAGTTTGGAATATCTCTTACGATTTCCCTTTCATTTTGAGCACTGAAAATCATAACTATTTACAAATCTGGTAAATACTGGATTTCCTTAAAAATAGAAAATACTATTACATTTTATCAACCCTTCAAGTTTGCCATTGTGTATTTTTCCTGAAACCTGTAAAATTTTATAAAGCATTAAAAGATGCTATGTAGTGTCTCAAACTGTTTCAAGAGTTTGGGTAAAACTGTTACTCATTTAAGTTGAAAATGATACAGTCTTTAGATGAAGAAAAACAAAAAGCCCTCATAATTTCTTACCCTTTACCCCTTTGGCACATTTAAGGAACAATTTTAATTGGTTCGGTAAGTTTAATCCTGAAGTTTACCTTCTATTTTCTGTGGAAAATGGATTATTTTGGTCTGCTTTCCTTGTAAAATTAAAAAATTACTGTTGATTAAATATTAGTTTCTAAAAAATCTTAAAGTGAATATCACCATTCTAAAAGCATGTTGTTTGACAAATGGAGAACATCCTGTGATTTCATCATAGTTTGGGTACACTATGATGTTTGCACAAAGGTGGCTGCCGTGCCATCAGGCCATATATCACAGGATACCTAAGTGTGTGTAGCTTATCATCCTTACTGGGCTCTGTAGTTTTGATCCAATGAAAAGTTAAGTATTGAAATGGATTAAGTTTGTAAAAATCTTACTTTCCACTATCATGCATATCATTTTTATTTTTTGTCCATGCAATCTTGCAGACACCCTGTGTTGTTTTTTTAAATAGCCAAAACCTTTAGTGCTATATGCTTAGTAATTTGAATCAGGAAAGACCGGTTTGGTCCTTTCCCTCCCCTGAAATACAAACCTTGGACATCATCAACAGTAACTTTACATTTAGCAAAGCTATTCAGTTCCCATAATGACTGCATGCTTTTCAAATCAAGACAGCTTAGTGATGGAAAATAGTGACTTGAAATCAACTGAATTTTAAAGTCCCTTTGTTGATGGTACTGTTACTACTTCCCCCATTACAGAGGTTATTGCTTTCTTACATTCTCTCAGCTACTGACTAGAGTCATCAAACTAACCATTTCTGTTGCTACTTGATGTAACTATTTTAGTTGTGGATCAGAATCAGAGCTAGAAGAAAAAATTATCTGCTAATATATTCTTCTTACAACAAGAAAACATCTCTGGAAAGACAAATATTTACCTAAAATTATGACTAGAATCCAACTAAACTAATCTTGTCTACACTCTACATTTTTGTTCATTATAACCATTTTTTAGTGTTTCTGTGTGACACCATATTACTCTAACTTGTTGCAAAGTGCTTTCTCTTTGAAATGTCATACTTACATCATTAGCCTTTCTTTTTTGGCTTAGGTATTCTGTTCATAGTTTGCATTTCCACTGAATGTTGACTTGTGTTTGCAACTTTATTATCATTTTGGCTATGTCTTCAAAACGCCAAACACCTGCACGAGAAGCTAAAGTACTGAGCACCTTAAAAAAATGTTAGTGAAAGAGCTTGTTCATTTGCCTAGAGTTATGTCACTGTATAAATTTAGGCTTTTGCCAATCATTCATCATTGAATAGGACAAAGTCTCATTGCTGAATCTGATAGAATGCTTAGAAATTTTTGGTTTTCAGTTAGCTGAAGAAATTCTTTAGTACCTATCTTCAAGACTAACCGAAATCTAGGAAAGAACATTTTCACAAACATTAACTAACTCTTATTTTGGATAATTAGATTCATAAAAAGTTGCAAAGAGTACAGAGAATTTTTTTTTTGAAAGTCAGATATACAGAGAGGAGGAGAGACAAAGAAGAGAGAGAAGATCTTCTATCCACTGATTTACTCCCCAAGCGGCTCAATGGCCAGGGCTGAGCTGATCTGAAGCCATGAGTTTATTCTGGGTCTCTCGGTGGGTGCAGGGTCCCAAGGCTTTGAGCTGTCTTCAACTGCCTTCCCAGGCCACAAGCAAGGAGTTAGATGGGAAATGAGGCCACTGAGACTAGAACTGGCACCAGTATAGGATCCTGACACACGTGCAAGGCGAGGACTTTAGCCATTAGGCTGCTGTGGCCGGAAACAGAAGTCTCTTGATATGTTTCACTAGTTCACATAAGTATAGTTGAGAAATCAAGAATATGATTTGTACATTTTGTCACATGGATAGGCTCATGTAACCAATACTAATCAAGATTGTTTCTCACCACAGAGAATGCCCTTAATAGTCACACTTCCCTACTTCATCTTTCTCTTTTCCATGACATTTTCATGTTGCTTGGTTTATTCCTTCTGCCAGTAGGCCCACACCTGATTTTTAGAAACTAAATGCGCATGTTGTCTCAATGTTCTAGTTATAAAAACAATTATATTGGTCAATAGAATTAAATTGTTTCTCTTTTAAGGAACAGGATCTACCTCCGAGAAGGAAGGAAGACAGGCAGGTAGGCAAGCAAGAGAGCTAGCTCAGAACATTGTACGCCCGGGATCCCATATGGGCGCCGGTTCTATCCCGGCAGCCCCACTTCCCTTCCAGCTCCCTGCCTGTGGCCAGAGAAAGCAGTCGAGGATGGCCCAAGGCTTTGGGACCCTGCACCCACTTGGGAGACCCGGAAGAGGCTCCTGGCTTCAGATCAGCATAGCATCGGCCGTTGCGCTTACTTGGGGAGTGAATCATCGGACGGAGGATTTTCCTCTCTGTATATCTGCCTTTCCAATAAAAAATAATAAAAATAAATCTTTAAAAAAAAAAAGATTTTAATAGTGCTTTATCTTACACTAAAGCATAGTAATTAACATTACCAGAAAGAAAGAGAGGGAGGGAGGGAATGAAAGGAAGGAAGGAAGAGAAAAAGAGAAAAAGAAAGCTCAGAACAAGATTTTAATAGTGCTCTATCTTATACGATAGCATAGTAATTAACATTACTAGAAGATGACACATTAGAATTTAGTATATAAAACAGGGGTCATTTCAGTAAGTGTAGTCAAGCCTGAGCCCTAAGGCAAAAGAGATACAATCAAGCGTACGTTTTTCTAAGAATATTCATAAATGCTCAGATGAGTTTGTATTGTAGCCGATATTTGTTGTTTGCTTTTTTTTTTTTATCTTTCTACTTGGTAGTAATGAAATTTTAAAGCCTAGAAAAGTCACCTCTGAATTTTAGTTTTTAATTTTTACTTATCGTTTTGTGTGTCATCCTTGCACACGGGCCATGCTAATCTCTGTATTGTTCCAATTTTAGTATATGTGCTGCCAAAGCGAGCACTAATTTTACTTATTATCGTTTTATGATATAGTTCCATAGGCCCTGGAATTCCCCCCATCCACTCCCCAACCTCCTCCTCCCTCACTGAGTTCCCCCATACTATTACCATAGCACAGCTCTTCATAATCATATGTCCATCATTGCGGGCATGGACAGTTTCAGAGAGTCCAGCATCCTACTCTCAGGACATAGCAAACAATTTCATTGGGAGTCCATCTGCAGGTCAGAAGCAGAAATGCACTACATCCCCTCAAATGAAAAGCCACAATACAAAATCAACAGGAAGAAAAATAGAAATTTACAATGAATGCCATGAAGTTAAATGACATGCTACTGGATATAATAGTCTCCATTAAAAATTGACTGAAATGTTAGGACTCAAATAGACCTGTAATTTCTTTCAAACTTTGGAAAATTTGGTATAACTATAGACTTTAGACCTTCTCGTTTTATTTGACAACCAGCAAATTAACTAAACTGTATAAGGTCATATAACTAGTTACTTAGTGGTTAGTTACTCCAAGAATCTGCATAGCCTCCCTTTGAATATGGTGTCCTTATCAATTACATTAAGAAATTGTAAGTGGCTATTTCTTTAAAATAAATACCTCTAAATACCTCTAATGAAAAGTCAATGTTTTAGCAGATTACTGTAATCAAACGAGTAATGGATTTGTAAATCATGATTAAAGAATAGATTAAGATTTTAATAAAGAATCAGTACTTGTTTGAAAATGTAAACATAATTCCTTGTCTCAGATACTTTCAAAATATCAGTAAGCTGTGCTGTTTTTAAATTTGTAGTTTCAGTTTGTGTTAATATTTGCAGATAAACCTTTTGAAATTATGAATTATCCTAGTTTGTCTTTTGGGACTTGTTGCCTAATAGTCTTGCTATAATAATTTTCTATTAAAATTCTTTACATTGCTACATCCTGTACTGATTAATTTTGATTTTCTTGGTTTTCAACTCTAGGAGTGTCTACCACCCGTCCAGTTTGACTGGAGTAGCAGTGGCCTTACTAACCCTTTAGATGGTACGTCTCTCCGTAGAGCCTCTAGCACCAGAGCTAGAGTTAAGAAAGCTACAAAGTTCAGACAGACTTCTCTCTGCTGATTTCCTTTCTTTGTTTGAACATAACTTCTTACTCTTTGGAAATTCAGGCTTTCTTTCTGAATAGTAATTGCTCAAGAACCCAGCCATTACTATCAGTAGTCTTTACGTGCAGATACAGGTAGCCAAATCTAGGTCTAGCTTCAGTTTCTTTCTCTTAAGCTTATTTTTTGACTTACTTTTTACAAATATCCAGGTAGGTAGTTTAAATATTTTAGGTAGAACCAGTTTACTTGAAATTTTTTCTCTAATTTCTGGAATTTATTGGATGCGGAGTCTTGTGGCTATAGGCTGCTTTAAAGCACAATTATTTAACCAAAAACAGTGTGCAGATAGATCCATGTTGACTAAATATTTCATATTTATATGCAAATGAAAAAATCATTTTTTGGAACTTTTTCTAAAACTTATCTCCAAGCACTATAGGCAGTACTAGAAATGATTGATTTTACTCAATGGCTTTAAATGAAAATCCTGAAAGACAATGATATTCAAATACTAGATTATGCTAATTTCTAGTGTTGACAAGTTTTAAATGGTCCCTGAGTCAACTGCTCTTAGTCCTAGTGCTTAGGTTGTTTGAGCCATTGTCTCAAACCTTCTGTCAGCTTTGCCTTATGGCACAGGTCCTGGGATAACTGGAAAGCATCTATTGGAATAACTGCTGAAGGAAAGCCTGGATGCACCTTTTGCTGTTGTCTGGTGTCTTTAGTCAAATCATTTTGGTTTTTTTTATTAACAATTTCTTTTAAAATGTATACTATTTCTGATTACTGTTTCAGAGTTAAAGGGGAACAGTACAGCTTGAGGTTGCACATCAGGGTAGAGCAGCTATAACATATCTTATTTTAAATAAGTTGGCATAATGGTGCGTGTCCTGCAACCAACAGCTTGTCATTAAAGGAAAAAGACATTTGAAAGCAACATTGCTAACATGAGAGATTAATCTGGGCATGTACAGTGAGTGAGTGTTGGGTTGAGATTCAAGTATTGTTTCCCTTTAACGGGTCTACTTTCTCCCTTGGTCTTTCTGATATGGTTTCCAATTTTGATTCAAATAATTGAATTAACTAAAATCTTACTAAGTGTTACATTCTTTACATTGTACATCAGAAAATGTACATTGAATTAAATTGTTACTTTAGAAATGTCCTTAGTAATGAAAAACTAATACTGTACACCTTGTTTTATTGTTAATTTTTAAAATGTATAATGATTACTAATTATAACCTGCATGTTCAAGTGTGTGTCTTACCCCTTTTTACACATAACCCCTCCTCCCTTGGCTTACCTTCTGTGTGGCTGCCTACCACCATGGTCACTGCATTTCAAGCGAGTGGAGGTTCCACTCTTCTGAACCTTGATTTCTTTGGGCCCGTGGATGACAGTAGCTCTAGCAGCAGCACCACAATCCCAGGTCAGCAGAGTGTTCAAACCACAATTCTAGTTGATTCACTAAAAGCATGACCACATCACTTGACTTTCCTATAAACAAGGAAACAAGTAGATTATATCCTCTGTGTTTTTTAAGTATGTTTCTTTTATCTGTTATTTTCTAGTATCGGACTATAACAAATGACTTAAGTGAAATGTATTTTTAAGAAAAACTGAGCATAATAGTCAAAGCTGGAAGTAGCTACTAGAAATAAAATAGCCCTAATGTCCTTAGACAGTAAAAGGCAGGGTTTCTACTACTAGTACCCAACAAAATGGAAAATGTGGTATTTTATATGCTCATTTTTAAAGTACATTCTATAAAGCCATTTGAAAAAACTACAAGTTTAGAGATACAAGAATATTTTAGTACACAAAGATGACTTTACATTGTAGTGCCTGTAATAACATTTACATAGCATTCAGTTAGTTTTTAGTGCTGCTAAATATTAGGTTCCAAAATGTTGGAGTCTGGCAGATAGTTATATAGTCCCACATAGAACTATTACTGCTTTTATGTAACTCTAAAATAGCTAAATATAATGTTAGTTTTTCTTGAAGAAAAAAAATGTTAAGGAGCATAATTGCTATGAGATACTAAAAGCTAGAAATTAATCTTACTGGAGTGCCTGTTAATGTTCAGCCCTGAAAAAAGTTCATTGACCAAAGGACTAATGTATTTTGTCATTTTCTAAGTGAATAAAAGATGAAAAGTATAATGGCATTTATGTTTATAATTTATTTAATTTGATTTTAATGAGTCCTTGTCGTCTCCAACTTGTGATCTGGTGATCCTGCCCCTTGATAACTGGGCATCAGTTGGGGTGCTATCCAAAGGCTGATGCCCAGAATACCAGCAAGGATCTTTCTGGGTCCCCACTAGTGGCCAGTTTCATAGCCAGCCAGGTTCCTGAGCATTTGCTGATTTGGTTCTATATCACTAGATTACCCTGAGCCTCATGGTGGGATATGAGAAAGACTGACAGTCGGCGCAAGAAGCCCTGTCTGAGATCTGGTTCTGGAAATCTGACCCTGCCATAGGAAAGTTCCAAGTCCCTTGGGTAGACAGTGACTTACTGAATTTCTCAAATCTAAGCCCCATAGTACCATTTTCATTGTTTTTTAAGACTTGTAAGCATATGAAAAAACAATCTGGTTTTGACTTAAATATTGTCTACTATTTGCTTAAATTATCTTTAAATATGTTTGAGCTATGGAATGACCTGGGTGAGCTGATTAGTTGTCTTTCATTTTATAATATTTAATATGGGGTAGAGGGTAACCAAAAACTTGTGTGTCAGTTTCCTTATTTCTGTATCCCTAAGAATTAATCAGATTCCCATTTAAAATTTGCTTTCAGCTTTGTGTTTTCTTCAACTATGTAATTTAAGGGGTCACTGTTTTTCTTGATGCTTACAAACCTGGCTTAATTTGGGGGGGGGGGGCAGATAAGGGGTGTTACATTTCCAATTCATTTAAAAACTGTGTATAGAAGCACAAATTAACCTGGCCATATAAAGAAATATAGAAATGAGAAGTAGGCTCAGCATACCCAGCTACTGGAACACCAAATGACTTCAGAAGCTTAGACCTGTAACAGAAGTGAAATTGGCATGATCAGATGCAGTCCTCATTACTTTGAAATCTCTTAAATATTTTTGCTTAGTATTTTAGTTAATATGCTCTAGCTGCTGTATAAATTTGATTGATAAATTTGCTTTGGCTTCTTTTTATTGCTATTGGGTTTTGTTACAACTTATCATCAAGCTACAGGTATCAACACTTTGCTTAGTGTTCCATTTCACCACTTGCTTGCCCTTTTCTGACTTGTTTCTGGGAAAGTCATTTTGTCCTAGCTTGCGGTTACTAAATTATTTTGTGTGTGAGACTTAGGAGGTTGGCATAGAACTTGGTTGGCTAGCTTTAATTATGTAACTGAACTATGCCTCATTAAGGTTCTATTTTTAAAAAATAATAAAAATTACTCTCTAATTATTGATGTATAGTAAGCCATTGCCTTGCTTTTGAGAAATTTAATTCAAGTAGTTTTTGGGGTGAGTTTTTTGTGTGGGGTTCTTTGTTATATTTTTCCTTGTGTGGTAGTGATGTTTTGAGCTCAAGGGAAGGGTAATTTTTTTTTTTTATTTTAATCTACCTCTTTACTCTTTGACAGCCATGTGGCTAGTATTTTATAAACCCATTAAGTTTTTACTAGCACTTTCCCATTGCCAGTCGGAGTGCAGTTGTTGATTCTGCATTGGACATTGAACAGCAACTTAAATTTTGTGGTTGCTTAGAATCCTTAACTTGGAGAAACAAAGTGCTGTACTTGGGGTTCATTTGATCCCTTTGCAGATATCTACAATTTTAATTGCAACTCATTGTTGAATTGGAAGTCTTTTCTATATATTTTAAAGCTACACCTTAATAAAATATTAAGAATTTGTATTAAGAACTTGGGAAGTCATACATTTTCTATAGCCTTCCTCCCTGGTTGGACTTGATAACTGTGGATGCTGCTTTTGCTTGTTTCATTTCCGTAAACATCTGAGATCTATATTTACATTTGCTGATGATCTACACATTTATCTGATAGAAGGATTTCATTATCTGATCTTATATGGTGCTATAAATAAATACAATTTGAGGAAGCTACATACACTCTTCCTTATAATCGGTATTTCTGTTATTCCCTCAAAATACTAAACCTTTTTTTCTCTGAAGTATGCTAGTACCAAGGAGGGTGCAGAATGTAAAACTCCTGAATGTCTTTATTCAAAATCTAACTTGAATTTAAGATTTTTTTTTAATCAGGTGTTTCATAGTCACTGTTTAAAATCTACCTGAACAATTTTAAGTATTTCTGTAATGTCAGATGGGGAAGAATTTTTATATGTCAACTTTATACATGTTGAATTATTTTAGCAAGATATTTGAAATGCCTACAAGATACAGTTATAAAACAAGAATATACTTAACCGTGACATACAAATGTCCATTCTTTTTCAAAAACTGTGCTTCTAGACACTCTGAAAGTATTTTTGCCTTCCCTACCTCTTACCTAAACAAAAAACAATGTGGTTTGTCTTATAACTGTTTTAAAGTCTCCCATCACCATATTTAAAAGGCTTTCCCAGTCTGTTGCTGTGGAAGTAAAGCATGAGAAAATTGTCAAGACGTAGGTAGTGGAAGAGGAAGGTTTAAGTAATTAGCTTAATCAATTTAAAAAATTAGCTATGTCCTAAAACAAGTTGTGTGCATTCTATTTATAAAACACTAATTTCAACATCACAAGCTAATCCAAATTTTTCTAAACTCATAGAAATTTTAGAAGCATTTGAGTGTATTTATCTACAATATAATGTTAGATAAATCTAGGATATATTTATTCCAAAGTAGCATTTTAAAAGTATTTTTCTGATTCATCAAAGTGCCGAAAGGAAGAATGTAAATTAAAAGCTAAATGCAAGAGTATAGTTTTTCAAAGATGTGTTATGCTTGTCTCAGATGTTTACAGAAGATTGCCTTTTGCATCTTGGATTGTGGCTAATTGAGTCGCCCACTGCAGCTTGCCATCACTGACTATCATTCTATACTATAAGGTGTGGATCCAGAGTTGTATGAGTTAACAACCTCTAAGCTGGACATCTCCGCCTCGAGCCTCAAGGTGACGGATGCGTTCGCAAGACTCATGTCCACGGTGGAGAAGACAAGCACATCTACCAGGTAGAGGACTGGTGCTTCCATTCACTTCATAACTGTCCACGTCTAGAAAGTAGTATTATATTGGGGACTCTTAGAATAAGTTTTATAAGACATGTCTGACATGTGGGATTTTTCTTCCTCCCTACTCAATAGAGAGTTCTGACTGAGTAATGCAATCATAAAGCAGTGTGGAGCTACTGCCCCTTTTCCTGAATAATTACCGAACCATCTTTAGAAATTCAAATTTTAGTGTTCTCACTTCCCAGTTACAAAGCAGCAGCCACTGTTTGAGATTTTTCAGTAATGCACACTTGTGATTCGGTATACAGAAGCTTTTCACGAAGTGTTCTGGGAGCCCACCTCCCAGAGCTGTGACAAGTACTCACCTCCTAGTACTGGAACCAGAGCCATTCAAGGAGTGTCACTTGGGCCTTCTGTTCAAGCAAACTTTGAGTTGGAAATAACTAAGCAGTGGGACGAGCCCATTGCTTTGACAAGTTTACTATCAGCATAGCCATTTCCTAACAGAAAGGCCCTTGCTGTGAACCAGATTTCTCATCCAAGAGCAAACACTGGTGATTTAGCATGCTGACTCTGCCACTCCAAACCATGAGTTATCAGCATTGTAAGGTGCAAATATTCATCTGTCACTCACTTTGGAAGTGGATAAAGGCATGCCACTCACATGTTAAATTCAAATTTAGCAGTGTTTTTATAGAAAGATACTCAAAGTGTTTTACTTAATAATTATTGCTAGTCCTTTAAGAAGCAGTGCAACATAAGCTATATTCTGATGTGATTATTTATTCAACAGATGCTTACCACTAGTATTTGTAGTTACAGGAAGTTATTATGTTTTTATATTGTAGACACCCTTACTTTTTTTGTTCATCCTCGCCTGTCCACAGATTCTCTCCATTTTTTCCCCATGTCTCATCTATTTGCACTTTGACTTTAAAAAAAATAACTTTACTGTGCTGTTTTTAGGACAACTCTTTCTGGAATAGCCTTACCCTTTCATCACCTTTCTTCCCTGTCAGCTCACTAGCCCAGTGATGAAAATTCATTCTTTGTGCCATTAGGAGGAGCTCTAAACCACATTGTTAATTTACTTGCTGTCCTAATTTTTTGCCTTACTGTTGAAACATGCTGTGCACTAACAAACTTTCCTAACCCCTGCCACTTCATTTTGTCCTTTTTTTTTTCCTATATTACTTGGAAATGAAATCAAACTACAGCTTTTATATTTGTCTGTTATACAGTTACATTAAGTACCTGTCCAACTTCCTATTTTTAAAAAATTGGTTACAAAGTGGGCAGTGTGTTTTGTTTTAGGCAATGTATGTATTATTTGAAAATAGAAAAAACTAAAATATTCACAAGTCTTAACATTTAATAAAGTCTTAAAATACCATACAATGTCCCGATGAGTCCCAGTTGAATAAAGAGATGGATGGGTAATATAGAAATGGTTTAAACTACTAAAGGCACAGCAAAGTCCTCCTGGCTATTCACAGTGTACAGAACAGAGTAAAAAACACAGGGCCTGCGAGTAAGGAAGGGTTACACAATGGTAAATAGAGGTAGACATGGCACAGACCGCACCCCACAAGTACATACATCTAAGAAAGGCCTTTGAATATATACTGTGTGTGCTCTGTTCTCTTTAAAGGCTGCAAAAGCTAAAATACCTCAAGGGGAGAATTTAAGACAGTAAGGTTCTTAGTTCTAAAACAGTTATATCATCTTCCTTAGCTTTCCGAATAAGAATTACTTCCTAATCTAAATTACCTTCCTAAATCTAGTTGCCACAGACCTTTAAATGAAGGTTATAAAGGAAAAAGGACTAGTTGCCATTGGGAATACATTTTTTCCTTTTTAGCCCTTTTATTGAGATTTCACTCACATACCATAAAGCCTACTTTGTAAGTATGTAGTTCATTTGTTTCTGCTGATTTCATACCATTTAGTTCTAGAATCTTCTTGCCCCCAAAAGAAATCCATAACCATTAGCAGTCCATTCCTATACTTCTCTTTCTCCAATCTCTGTAATAAATAATTTGCTTTGTCTATAAATTTGCCTATTTTGGTTATTTTGCATAATGGAATCTTAAAATCTGCTTCCTTTTGTGTCTTAACTCAAAAGTTACGTTGTAACATTCATTAAAGTTCACTCCTTTGTGTGGAAATAAAGCAGCTAATCATTTATCAGCTGAGCCAACATTTGGATCATTTTCACTCTTGGTGTAATCCTGTACGAACACATGTTTTCAATACTTTGGAGAGTGGAATTGTTGGATTCTGTAACTATTTTGCCCTTCTGGGAATTGCCAAGTTTTTCAAGTGATGGCATCATCTTACATTCCCACACCATGCTCACGTTACAATTTCTTCATTCTTACCAGCACTTATTGTCTTTGGTGCTATCATTTGTTTTCATCTTTCTGGTGGCTTGTGTTGGTAATCTATATGCTTATTGATTATATATTTTTGGGAAGATGTCTAATCATTTCCTTTGTTTTTTAATAGGGTAATTTGTCTTTTTAAATTGAGTTTTAAGGATGCTAGAACCTTTATCATATATTATTTGCAAGTATTTCTCATTCCATCACCTGTCTTTTCGCCCTTTTGACAACATCTTTTGAAGGACAAAAGTTTTAAATTTTAATTGTATATGTTTTTCTTCTTTTGTTACTTTGGCTCTGTAGATGTCCCATTTAAGAAACCATTTCTTAATCTACAGATTGTCCTCAAGCATTAAGTTCTTTGCTATTACTCTAGAACAGCTGATTCACATCAGTGCATAGGGACTGTAGATAAACACACAGACTGTAACTTTTAAACTTTCAAAATACAACTTCGTATTGCCTTCAAGTAGTGCCTCTGGAATAAAGCAATGGCAGAAACCCTGGGATAACTTTGACCCACTGTTCCTTGGGTATGGCATCCTCCTTGCTCTCCTGCTGGACCCTACTGCACTCTGCAAGTGGGAAAGTCCATTGAGGCACAATTTTGTTATTGTTTGAAGTCACTTCTATCATTGCAGAAGCAATAAAATTTCATTATGGGTGGCTAGAAAATAGACTATTCCTTTCTTACCATTCAGATCACTATGAAGGTCATTCAAAAAGCTCACAGGAAATGGAATGAAAAGTTGTAGTTATTTTAGTTTAAAAACTTGAAATGTATGCTTAGAAACTGAACATGACTTAAAAACAAAAACAAAAAAAACCCCTAAGTATTATGGAAGTATTCAGTTTTCCCACTGAAAAAGGGTCCTTGGAATTTAACCATGTCAAGCTAGTCATTTATATTATTAGCAGAAGACAGACATTTAAGAATGTAAAACAGGCCAGCAAGCACTGTTGTATATCAGGTGAAACCTCTCTTTGCAGTGCCAGCATCCAAAGTGGACCTGGGTTCTAGTCCCAGGTGCTCCGTTTTTCACCCAGCTCCCTGATAGTGTGGCTGTGAAGCAGTATTCAGGACGTCCCAAGTCTTTGGGGCTCTTCACCCACGTGGGAGACTTGGAGGAGCTCCAGCCATGGCAGCTGTCTGGGGTATGGACCAGTGGATAGAGATCTCTGCTTTTCCCTCTCCTCCTCTGTCACTCTGCCTTTCAAATAAATCCTTTTTTAAAATTAGGGAAAAAATCAGAAGGTGCTACATTGAGACTAAGCTTTCTTTGGTTTCCAGCAGGACTCGTGGAAGTGTTCTTGTTTGGTAAGCACAGAGAGAACACTGGCTCATCAGAGGACGCTCCAGGGAGGCTTTCCCAGAGCATTTTCCTGGGAAGGCTCGTTGACCTTCCCAGAACACTCTCCTGAATAAACAAATGTTATTGTTCTTTGGTCCTCCAAAAAAATTAACATGCAAAATGCCTTTGTACCTGGCTGCATCCACTTTTGCTGTGACTGGATCACTTCCACCTGTTAGCCATTGTTCTTTGATTGTATTTTTCTTCAGGATCATATTGGTAAAACCATATTTCATCTTCAAGTTCTTCCACAAAAGGGTTCAGAAAATTCATTCCAATTGTTTAAAATTTTCATTGGTATCTCTGGTCTGAGCACAGATGTTAGCATCTACTAGGTAGAAAGTTTGCTCTACTTTAAGTTTTCAGTCACAATAATATAAGCTGAACTCATTGAATTGGTTATTATCATTGTTGCTCTCAGATTTTTTTAAGAAAGAGATTACTTAAAAGGCAGAGAAAGCGAGGGAACTTTATTTCATTGGTTCACATCCCAAATTCCTACAACAGCTAAAGTTGGGCAGGCCTTAGCCAGGAGCCCTGAATTCAATCTGGGTTTCCCACGTGGGTGGCAGGAGCCCAGCACTGTGCGGCATCAGGTTCATCCTGCTTGGATGCATGTTAGCTGGCACGGCAGTGGGCAAGCCTCAATCCCAGGCATTCAGTAGGAGATGTAGGCATCTCGGGTGCAGTAGAGCTCTGACACCAAGTGCCTGCCCTAGCTGACCACTGAGGGCCTCACACAGTGACATGCATGGCCTGCCTGCCACTGCTACAGGCTTCACCTTCAACATAATTCAATCCCTTTTGCAACAGGTTACCCATTTCTAAACTGCTTTCTTCCAGACATTATCCCCTCTACTCTCTGTGAGACATGGGTGATTACACCAGTTTTGTGCCCAGGCTTTGCTGAAATTTGATTTGTTCTTGGTTAATTCTTGGCAGAATTCATATTACTGTGATGAGGCTGTCTTCCAACTAATGCCTTAAGCTTCTTAGTCCCTCAGACTAGATCTGTTCAGACATGTGATACCAAGCTATTTATTTTGATACCAAAAAAAATGATTCTTTTTTTAAAAATGTATTTTCCATAAACACTTGAAGACACCCTCCCCCCAATTTGTAAACAAAAATGAGATTTTATAGGCCATGATGAAGCAAACCTGCTGCTTCGCTGACTTCATCTGTGATGTCAGCCAGTTACCATCTCGCCCGACAGGTAGGCCTGATTCAGAATTCCCCGGGAACAGCCCTTCTCTGCTCCGTGCAAGCCAGTATTCAGCTGCACCTGGTTCTTGGCCTCTGCGGTGCCTCTCACCTAGCTTGTCTTCTCCATCCTTTTTGTTTCCTGTGCAAGAACACTAGCATGATTTTTAAAAAAAACAAAAAACACAGTCCATTTGCTTTGCGCAGTATCCTAAGCTCTGTTTGTCCCTTTGCTTTCTTCAGATAGTATTTACTGCTCTCTGTTCACCTAATTCCCTGTAAATTACATATTAAAGACTGCTGAACTCAGAGTGGACTTTCTGGCTAGAACAAGTCAGATGGTAAAGCACTTCAAGAGACACTAACTGGTTGGCTCCCGTGTTAGTAGGTAAAAGTAACCACCTGTGGAGACCAACCTTGTCTACATTAGTTACAGTTTTTTGCTGAGACAACACCGTATTTGATTTTATTTTGAAATGATCAGCTATCCAGTTCCTCCAGCTCACAGGCTACTTGATAGATTTGTTACCATTGAAGTACAGCTAAAAAAAAAATACACATTTTCATCAGGAAAAGAGAATTGTATGCCATCCTTCTAAGAAACCCCAGTTCCAGCTGCCTGCCTGCTGATAAACTCAGGTCCTACTCTCCTACTCTGTTGTTGGATTTTTTTTTTCATTCACCCTATGAAATCTGTATTGCAGCTTGGACTCAAAAATGGTAACAGAAAATTCTGAGTTTTACATAGAGGTATGCATCTGTCTTTCCTGTCTTGCTTCACACTTCCTGCTCCCACCTGCTTTTTTGTTGTTCTGAGGGTAGTTTGTATCCCCTCTAACAGAGGCCAACTGTCCTTCACAGTAGAAAAGATTTGGGCTATCCAGAATCACTTTAAAAGTATCTTTGTTTACAGTTCATTCTCTCCATGGCGACAACTACTCCTTTAACAGATTTCATAGCTGAGAAGATACAGTGTGGGTTATAATCATGGGTTCAATGTGAGCCACATTTGAGTTTCATGTGGCGTTTTCCTTAGCTTACCAACTGAGGAGACCTGGCACCAGGGATTTGTTTTGTTTTTAATTTCCATTGCTAGGCCCTAACTACTCACTCATTCTGGGGTCCAGTGTCAGGATAATTCATCGGCAAGGCCGTAGGATGTAGGGGTTGCCCTTTTGCTTGACTACCTCCTCAGCCCCAATAGACAAGCCTCATGGGCCTGCGGGGGGCCTTTGTGCATCCACATAGGGCCCAGACTGAGTGTTTGAGCTGAGTACTCTTGAAATTCTCATTGGAGATGGGGCCAGCCTGGGGTTAACATCATGTGCACAGCCTGGGCCAGACCTGTCAAGGTGGTAGAGACTTGGGTAGTCTCACATGGGGCTGAGGAGGAATTCCTGGATGGAGGGGGACTAGGATATCCGCTTCCTGTTTCTGCTTAGTAACATTCTGAATTTATTCCTGGGTAGAGGCTTCTGCCTTAAGCAGTGCTGTGAGCTGTGTCAGTCGGGACACAGCTGGCTGTGACAAGCAGACAGGAAAGTGTTGCTCTGAGCATCGGCTTCTAGCATGAGGTTCCTGCAGCAGGGAAGTCGTACACTGAGCCGGAGGGGCAGGTGCCCCCTCCCCCCGCCCACAGACTGCTGCCTGCCTGCCTGGACAGGAGAGATCGCCTTCCACTTGCGCGACAGCAAAGTCACATTAACACTTTTTACTTCTGCCAACAGGAAACCGAAAAGAGAAGAGCACTTAAGTGCAGAAGCTCTCAAGGTGATCGCCAGCCTTCCCGACCTGACCTTCATGCATGCCAAGGTGTTGATGTTCCCGGCCACGCTGACGCCCTCCACGGGCTCCCAGGGCAAGGCGGACTGAGGACTGGGGGCACGTGCCCTCCTGTCCTCCAGCCCCTCTCTACCATCTAAAGCATACTTGCTGTAATTAAAAAGAAAAAATCAAATTCAGCTGATTTGTTGGTAAGCCGCACTAGAAAGGTATACATAGTAATGTATATTTATTTACATACTGAAGTCCTAAATTTATATTAGAAGAAAATGTAAATAATTGGGGGTGAACATTTTTGAAGATTTATTCTTTTTGTGTTGCTGGGGTGTATACATTTATGTCTTTGTGAAATACACTGGTGGTGTCCTTCTTACAAACCTTTTGAAATAAAAATGTCAAAGCATCTCCATTGTCTATGAAACCTCTCAGTCCTTTCAAACTGCATTGACTGTCCTCTTCAATTTTCCTATCTTATGTTGAATGATTTTGCTATCATCAGTATGCCCCAAAGTCTGTTTAAATTTTCCCCCTTTAGTTTTTGCGTGTGATGGGTTTGTTGCAGATCTGGTTTGTGTTAGCGTTTTGGGCTCTTTTCTAATCCCGTCAGTCTGGCATACTGTTTGACCTTTGTGAGGTACTGCACCGATTACCATAGCTAAGGACGTGGGTCTCGTTAGAGGTTGATTGGAGAGGGTTAAACACGATTCTGCCTGTTTTACATTAGTTTGATTTGGAGAAGGACCAAATTATATGAATGTCTTAAAATGAAATTTACTTGTTGCCGATTTTTTGTTCTATTGTACCACTATTTTTTGACGATTTTGCACAGTGTAAAATGACATAATCATAGATTGCTATGGTTTAGGCTGTAAATACAGTTAAAAACTATGGGTTTTAAATGTTTGGGGAAATTCCTATGGAAAAAAAGAGAGACATGTAGAAGAACCTCTTCCAAGGTTAATGTGCATGCCCAAAGTCTTCTGAGATTTCAGTGTGTAAATTTCCTTTTAGCTTACGAAAATAAAATAATTTAAAAGAAACTCTGTCTTGACATTCTCACTTAAATATCAAAATACAAAGAGTTTAATACTGAATAAAGCTTCACATCAAACGTATTTTAGCCCAAGAGAAATGATTTGCTGGGGCACATACCCTGTAGAAACCAGAAATATTTACAGTCTAAAGCAGCTCCTATAATTCATTGTAACATATCTTTATCAGAATACTGGCAAAGTAAAATAGGGATGTGTAGGATTTTTTTTCTTTCTTTCTGAGAAGCTACATATAAGGTGGCCAGTGTTCCACAGTTTAGGCTAAGGCTCCTGTGTTGCCAGAATGCCGTGGCAGTGTGCCCGTTCCAGTCCTGGCTGTTCCACTTCTGATCCTGCTTTCTGCTAATCTACCTGGAAGAGCAAGGAAAGCCCCGTGCTTCTGCCTCTGCCACCCATGAGGCCAGGATTTAGTTCCTGGTTTTGACTGAACTGGCTGTTGGAGCCATTTGGGGAGTGAAGCAGCTAGAAGATAAAGCTCCCTCCCTCTCCCTGCTTTTCTAATAAAGCTTTCATATATATACACACAAACATATGTATGAAATTAAGCAGAAAAGTTAATAAAAAAAATTCTACAATGTATTAGATACTCCTGCACATCAATAGGCCAGGTGTTTAGCCTCATGATTAAGTCACTGGTTGGGCTGACCATCCTGTCCCTCTGCTCACGACTCCACATGCCCACTGATGCACACGCTAGGAGGTAGCAGATGGTGTCGCAAATAGCTGGGTTAGAGGCCTGGACTGAGGGCTCAGCTCCTGCCTTCCACTGCAGCCAGGAGCCACAGCAGGCCTGTGGGGAGGGAACCAGCTGACAGCAACTGCCTGACTCTGAGAGCCATTGATATTTCCTAAGGGACGGGCTGGCAGCCTGGCCGCCTTCCACCCCCCTGGGCTGGGGGAGTGTTCCCGGGGCCAGCCTGTCGCAGGGGCTACCAGAATGCTTGCCCAGATGTGACGTCGCTTGGCCTGAAGCAGTATGCAGTTCATTCTGCCTTCTGCCATCCCCAGTTTTTTTCTTCTGTCCTTTTTCTGACAAGTCAAGCTTCCAGTGAGTGTCTAGTAAGTTTTCTGGATGGAAGTAAGATATTCTACAGCACAACTTCATATTTCAGCTTAATGGGCCACCTCTACAGCTCATTACAACTAAACTGTAGTAAAACCATATAATAGCTGTGGGAAAGTTAGCTTTTCTGCCCCATGATATCCTAAGAATGAGACAGATACTGCCTACCCCCACAGCATGTAAGAAGCTTGTCCTGTGTGAGAACAGTCAGTGGCAAACGGAGCACAGCGTCAGGACCCCCGGAGGGGCTCCCGGAGTTCCAGCATAGCCAAGAAGCAGAAACAGAAGGAAAAAGCACTTTAAGACCATTTCGACAGGAGAAATGGATCTTCTATCTGCCGTTCACTTCCCAAATGGCCGCACCTGCCAAAGCTGAGCTGATCTGAAGCTGGAAGCCAGGAGCTTCTTGTGATTCTCCCACATGGGTGCCAAGGCCAACTTCTGCTTTTTTCCCAAGCCACAGGCAGGGATACCAACTGGTGCCTATATCGGATGCTGGACTTTACAAGTAGGGTATTAGTCTGTTGAGCTACCATGCCAGCCCCTCAGGTGCACTCAGAATAATGCAAAAAATTTAAATGAAGTGGCCCAGCTTTAGTTCAGAGAGTAGATGCTTCGTCTTAAACTCTTCTTGGAAAAGACAGAGACCTCCCTTTTATCCTGCTGGTTTTTGATGTTTTAGTAACAACTGCATTGTTGGTGGGGCATTATAGGTGAGAGTACTCTAAGGGAGAGCCCTGAAAATGCTCACCTCTGCGCCAGGGCAGGCCAGGCACAGTGGCTGGCAGCATCAGGGTCCTGGATGCTGCCCGGAAGCCTCAGCTGCGGGAGAGCTTGGCAGCCGCACGCTTAGCCTGCTTCTGCTTCCCCCATCTCCCCAGTGCCTTTCCTTTCGCCAGGAAGTGCCTGCAGTGCTAGGGAGGGGAAAACCTGCAGGTCAAATTACATGCTAGCTCAACCATCAGCTGTGTCCTTTACATCCTAAAATCTGCTTATTGGGACTGCACTGTGGCATACCACGCTAATCCTCCACCTGCAGTACCGGCATCCTGTATGGGCACCTGTAAAAATTCCCACTGCTCCAGTTCTTACCCGCTTCCACTGTTCCAGTTCTAATCCAGCTCCCTGCAAATGGCCTCAGGAGGCAGTGGAGGATGGTGTAAGTGCTTGGGCTCCTGCACACATATGAGAGATCTGAAGAAAGCTCCTGGCTCATGGCTTCAGACTGGCCTTTCTCCAGCCCATGGAGCCATTTAGGGAGGGAACCAGCTGATGAAAGTGCTCTCTGGCTCCCTCGCTGGCCTTTTTCACTCTCATTTTCTGAAACTTTGCATTTTAAATGACATTTTGAAAAAAACTGCTCAGGAGTAAGAAATGGCCTTGTGGCCTAACGCTTAAGGTGTCAGTTGCAATGACATGCCCCACATTAGAGTGTCTGCATTCAATATCCAGCTCCTCTCTCTGCTCCAACTGCCGAGTAATGTGGACTCAGGAAGGTGGTGGCAGTTGATGACCCCAGTGACTGGATCCCTGCTGTGGCAGCCAGCTTCAGCCCTGCCATTGTGGGCCTTTGGGAAGTGAGCTGGTGCATGGAGGGGAACTAGCTCTCAAAGCCACTTGTCATTCTCTGGGTTACTGCGAGCCGCAGCGGGAAGCACAGGCACCAGCTCACCTGAGCTACGTCACTACTATCTCCGTGAGTCACGTGTTACTAGAGAACTTGTCCTTCCCTCTGTGTGACTGGGTTCCTTATTGAGAACCTGTCATCTCATCCCCTCGTGTTCCCTGAGTCAGTTAAGCTAGGTCTTGGGTATGACTAACAAAAATTCCAAATACTGCATTTCACGTCATAACTGTCACAGGCATCCCTGAAATTGGGAAGTGTCGTGCAATAAGAAGGGTTGTCTGTTTAACTGGAAATGGCTTTTCTCAGGGATCTGTGCATAATGCTGTTGTACATCCACATCGCTGCTGACAGTGGTGGCAGTGGATTACAGACAGAGGGTCATTTCTCTACGAGACATTGTAGAAGTCAGTCCGCGGCAGCCAGGCGCTTCCCAGGCCCCTTAGAGCCTGGGGGTTTACTTTCTGCTCTGCCTTTCTCAGCATGTGGCTTCTACCTGCTGATCCAAAGGGGCTGTTGAGGTGTTGCCCATCATGCCTACATGCCACGTGAAGAGGTGCCAAGGCCCAGCCCATAAGACAGCCACATTATTTGCAGTTACAGCCTGTCTGCTGGCCAGAGTTGGTAACATTATCTCATCTAGCTACTAACAAGCCTGAGAAATACCTTCGCTTGTGGCAGTAGAGGGTGAGAGGTGTTTAAAAATGGAGAATTTAGGGCCCGGCATGGTAGCGTAGTGGTTAAAGTCCTCGCCTTGCATGTGCCTGGATCCCATATGGGTGCTGGTTCTAATCTCGGTGGCCTTGCTTCCCATCCAGCTCCCAACCTGTGGCCTGGGAAAGCAGTTGAGGATGGCCCAAGGCCTTGGGACCCTGCGCCTGTGTGGGAGACCAGGAAGAGCTCCTGGCTCCTGGCTTCATATTGGCTGAGCTCCAGCCATTGCAGCCGCTTGGGGAGTGAACCATCGGATGGAAGATCTTCCTCTCTGTCTCTCCTCCTCTCTGTATATCTGCCTTTCCAATTAAAAAAATAAATCTTTTTTAAAATGGAGAATTAGAGGATTCTAGGGGCAAATGGTGGGCCTGGTGCTTAGAGCATGAAGCAGTTAAGACGCTACAGCACATATCTGAATGCCTGGGTTTGAATCCCAGTTCTGCCCATTTTAACGACCTGCTAATGCAGACCTTGGGAGACAGTGATGGCTCAGATAAAAGACCCAGAGCTCCCAGCTTCAGCCTGGCTCATCTCAGTCACTGCACACATTTAACAAGTGAACCAGGGGATGTGAGCTCTTGGCTGTCTCCTCTCTGCCACTAAATGATGTTTCAAAAGAATTCAACATCTGACAGCCCAAATCTTGATATTCTTTTATTTATTTTTTTTTTGGTGGGGGAAAAGGTTTATTTAATTTTATTGAAAAGGCAGATTCCGGCAGATTGAGAGCAGGAGAGGCAGAGGAAAGATCCATCTGCTGGTTCACTCCCCAAGTAGCCGCAACGGCTGCAGCTGAGCCAATCTGAAGCCAGGAGCTGGTTCTGGGTCTCCCACGCGGGTGCAGGGTCCAAAGGCTTTGGGGCATCTCTACTGCTTTCCCAGGCCACAAGCAGGGAGCTGGAAGGAAAGTGGAGCAGCCAGGACACAAACCAGCACCCATAGGGAACCCCAGTGAGGATTTAGCCACTAGGATATCACACTGGTTCCTTGATATGCTTTTGAGAGAAGTGGACAAGATTCTAGTAGCAAGGAAGAAGTGGAGAACAGATCACGTGAGAACCAGAAGTCTAGGCCTCAGCTGTGTTTTCACTTCTCAGCCTTACAGACAGCCCTTCGTTGAGATGTCATACATGGAGAAATGAATTCCAGCAGTCATTATCTCTGGCTAGGAGCTTATCCTAGGAGAAGTACAATGCATAGGGGGCAGTGCATTTGATGGGAACAAATGCTACAGCAAGTCACAGGTGGAGGAGGCAGCAGCCTGATGTGGCAACAGCATCCGGTCAGCAAGGGGCAGCATACAGCTCTGCCACAGCTTGGGTGATCCCTCTCCTGAGACTTGAATTTCAGAAGCTGAGGGGTTGGAGTCCCCACACGCAGGAACCAGGGTGGGAAGAAATCTTAGAAAGCCACTGGCTTGGGCTGG